ATTTTCACTGCTATGCTGATGACACCCAGCTCTATCTATCTATGAAGCCAGATAACACACACCAATTAGTTAAACTGCAGGAATGTCTTAAAGACATAAAGACCTGCCTTCCCACTGTCACCAAAGTGTTTGCTTATATGACTGATGTATTATTGTAGGGTCTACTGTACAACATAAAGCACCTTGAGGCGACTGTTGTTGTGATTTGGCGCTGTATAAATAAAACTGAATTGAATCGGACTGATCCTGCTCCGGCAGATCCCACTGTCCTTTGGGAACATCAGTGTCTATGGATAGTTGTGACCTCACTAGCTGTCTATCACTGCTGCAAACTAGAGGAGCTCAGAGCCGACCCCGATGTTATCCCACCCCCACCTTGAACCATATGTTACTCCCTCTATCATATGGTATGATCCACAAAGAGACAGGACAACTTGTGTTTAAACTGTGATATTATTATGTTTTCACTGCTGCACACAGTGCTGAATGCTCCGTATAAGAAAAACAAAGACTTATTCTGAACTGGGAATCATGCAAAGCTACTCTAAGGGAGTCCAAGAACAAAAATATGGAGTTATCTGTGAGAACCCTCCATACAGTTCTTCTGAGTGCTTGATGATGGCAGTAACTGATCACAGTAAAGAGTTATCATGACAAAACAACAGTCATGCTTACATTAAGACAGATGTGCAGTTCCACACATGAAACTTTATTCACATAAGCTTGACTTTAATGAAGGCTGTGTTTGAGCTGAAAAGCAGTACTTACTCATCGTCTGGTGTTAGCTGCACTGGTTCATTAGTAAACTGCGTGTCAAAGTTTTCTAGGCCGTACTCATCAGAGATTTGAGGTTTGAAGGGCGGCGTCACTTCTTTCTTCTCCAGCTGAGTGAAAACAAACAGAGTGTATTATATATAACAGTTGCTTTTACTCACTGAGAGTGGAGCCATGAAGTCAAATAAAAAAGGCACATTTTCACAAGTGTAGACACCCCCACACCCACATTTCCACAGTGGAGGAGTTTGTGTCCCCTCTGATCCTGGGAGCTGTGTTACCCAGGGAAACAGCCCCTGGTAGTGTCTGACATGTCCACTTGGTCCCGGGGAGGCAGGGAGGGAGGGGGTGAGGCAAAGAGCAAAACCCAGTGAGTGATTCTGTGTGAATCAAAATCACCAAAAAGACAAAGGACTTAATGGCACATATTTGACATCCATCATCAGTGTGTGATAGCCTGATGTCACTGAACAGGTAACGTGAAAGCACAAACATATTCTAACACATCTGCACCAACATTTGGCCAGATGTGAAACAGTGAAGCTTGGGCTCGTGTTGCTGTATTTCTGCGTGGCGATGAAGCCAAACAACAGAACGAAGAAGGTTGAGGCAGCAGAATAATTATGCCTGAGTGATTCAGCCAGAGTTTTTGTCTGATTTGTTTCCATGGTTTCACATTCGTCCCTCATCCTGTTCAAATGTGTGCTGAGGACATTTTCTAAGAACACAATGAAGTCAGACGGGCACAGAAAGACCACAGGTACCCAGCTTCGCTCGTCATGCTGCGTTTCACTGTTTTCTCTTTAGAAAGCTGGGTGAAAAGAAGCCCTAAAATAGATGTGACCATCTGGGATTTGGAGGCTGAGCCAGACCACGGGTACCATTTTCTTATAGTTGAACATTAAACAATGACCATATTACGTGATGTCATAGATCAAGGCGTGTGCCCAGCCTCATGCTTCACACAGTGAACATGGGCTCCAGCTATTCTGCCAAAAAGTTGTATTCTTATTTTACAGTATTTTAATGTCTACACTGGATCAGTGGGGACGCACAACCCACAGCATCTGTGTTCTGAGACACTGCTGCTGGAGACATTTCCATTTTATCTACTGTGTGTCATCGGTGACACATACTGGTTCTCCTCCACTGAGTCATCTTTCAACTGGGATTTCATTTAAAACAGAGAATCACAGAAGCTAAATGTGGTGTGTAGGAAGGGTGATGAGCGTCAATTGTGTTGGTGTGGTTGAAAAAGTCTGAGCAGGTGGAGTGTTCGAGGACGGCTGATTGAGCCTTACCACTGTTCAGATGGTTCGGGCTTAGTGTTGGTGGGTGGAGTCTAAAAGGATGATGATGCTCCTTGTAAAGGCTGAATCATCCAAGACTTTTACACAATGTGTCTGGTGTTATGTACCTACAAGAGAATCTCAATGTTTAACATTTGACACCATGTGAAATCCAGACTTCCCAAAGCCTGCAGGAAACTGCAGCTCCTCTCCAAGAATGAGTCTATTATCACCTCTACTACATTAAAAACCATCTTTATGACCTGATACAGGAGCTAAACAAACAGTTTCCCATCATGGAAACTTTGTGGAGGGCATGTTCTCCACACCAGGTGGTGTGAAAAACATTACAGATGAAGAACATTACAGACATTACAGATGTGACAGGCAGCTGTCTGTAGGCCTTACTTTCAGGACCTGGACTCACAAAAACCTGGCCCTGATCACAGGGTGGGTCAATCCTAGCACCACAGCTGGGAACCAGCCAGCTGTGGTGCTTAGCTGTGATTACTGTGTGTGTGTGTGTGTGTGTGTGTGTGTGTGTGTGGTTTAGTAGTTGAGGCACTTTCTAATGTTATTGGTTCAAAGTGTTTTCAGCTTCAAACAGATAAACACCAAATAACTCACTTTGTATGTTTTTCTATCCATCAAATTTGCCCACATTCTCCCAAACACACACACACACACACTCTATTTGTTCATTTCTTTTTCAGGTTTTCGGCGCCTACCTACACACTCTGTCAGTTTCACCCCCTCACATCCTGTCTCCATCTTTCTCCTCTCGCCTCTATCTTTCTTACTCATTCTCCATTCTTTTATCTTGTTACACTGCTCTCCTCTCTCCTCCTACTTTCCCCACTCTTTCTGATGTGTTGCTGGGCAGGCTTAATCACTGTGTGTTGGTAATGAAGTGAAAGCCTGGAGTGAGCCCACACACACACACACACACACACACACACACACAGGCAGGATCTGAAACATTAGTACTACACACATGTTGAAGTGTGGGGAAAGTGTCCCTGAGACCACAGTGGGAGATGCAAGAGGTCAGTGAACGTCAGGGCTGTGCAGGTGTCTGAGATCACAACACTGACCGTGTGTGTGTGTATGTGCGCAGGCGTTAGTGTCAGTGACGAGCTGTCATACATGTCTTTCTCACACATGTAAAATGACGGTGTGCCACGCTCGCTGTCTGAGTGCTGCTCTCAGCCTCTCCATCATTCTCCAAAACAAGGACAACATCAGGGAGGCCAGTCACCATTCATTTACTGTTGGTTTGTTTTTTTATCAGTGAACGTCCCACAAAGAAACGTCCTGCATTGTTGGTCCACAGCTGGAGACAAAGGGACCCCACGGCTGTGAGACCCTCTGTGTTTCATCGAACCTTTGAAATGTGGGAGGAGCTGTGACAGCAGTAGCTGGGCACCTACCTGGTGTCTTGTGTCAGCCTTTGCTGCTCACTACTTTTAACTTCACACTTGGCCTTGGACTAAAATAAAAGAACTGTGGAGAACGGACGTATTACAGAGAGAAAACTTCCCTCAGGAAACATGTGATGAATATTAATATGTGGTAACACAGTGGTGGTACACCACGCCTGTCAGGTCCTGAGACAGGTCTGGGGGCAGAGAGCGTTACCTCTCCAGCTCGCTCAGCTCGCTGTCCCTCTGCTCTGTGTGGACTCTGCTCAGGAGCTCTGCTTCCACACATCACCCACTGTGTCCTTGGTGTGCACACAGACACACTAAGACTTAGATAAGTTTAAAACATATCCTGATACATAGTTTTTTTTAATGTGATACTTAGAGATCAACATTTCCATATGCACCATCGTGAAACTGACAACACAGCTGTGTTTTCTGTTTGGAGACTATCCTCAGCATCCACGTGTATCATGTATCATCCAATGAAAAAGCTGAAAACTGTCAGCCTCCAGTCTGCATGGTAAGGGCCTCCGACTTCGGGCCTCCGACTTCGGGCCTCCGACTTCGGGCCTCCGACTTTAGCCTCCTGGGTAGTTCACGTCTCACTACTCCAGGTATCATGTCTTCTAATAGTATGTTCAAAGTGCACACATGTAATTTTCATCAGAGTTATGAGAGCAGCCACAAACAGAATGCTTCAATTTGAATCCCAGTTATTGTGCACCACCATTCCTATCTCGAGTCCCGCGTGGACACTCCCTGAAATCACCATTTTCATAGTAGATGTTTGTTAAACCTCAAATTAAGACAGCAGAAAAGTGTAATTACCCTCCTAAGAAAAGTGGAGAAGAGGAAGCGTGGGTCTGAGACGGAGGTGGGGGGACGGGGAAACATAGCTGTGAAGAAATCTGCAGACATTACATGTGTAGTTCTGTTTGTCAGCACACAGCCATCACCTCTCTTCCTAAGCTCGCTGAAACAGCTCTTTCCCCACACCTTCATGGTATGACTCTGCACATCATCTTTGTTGATCAGAACCACCACTCGCTCCTCGACTGCTCGGGCCTCCTCTGACTGCAGGCTTATGTTAAACAATCCTGTCAAAGGAGCTGCTCTTTCTCCACAGGTGCTTCACCTGGACCAACCACCTGTCTCCATTCATTGGCTTTGTTTTTATAAGTGCTGGATAAAGTGCTGTGGTATGGTACTGTCCACTGTCTCCTGTCTGTAAGTCTTTTTCCTTTTGCCAGCTGTTTGCTGTTCGCCTGGTCTCTTGTTTATGTTGATCTTCCTGACTTTTCCACTTTTCCTTTGCTAACCTCGTCCTTTGAATACTTATACTTCCTCAAGTCTGCTTGTCCTCTTTCCTCCACACACACCAAACACCTTCTTAGCAGTTTTCCTAACCATTTCAAATATACTTTCCCAGTCATCAGGCAATATTTTCTTACCACTCTGAGCCTGTCTCCAGTTTTCCTTCCTCAGCTTCCATCATTTAATCATTGGCTTTATCTTCACTTCCTCTTCTTGGTTTCATCCTACAGACTGTTCACTGCTGCCTAAGAAGATTTCCTCCTTGCAGTCTCACATCTCTTTCTTAATGCACTTTCAACATAAGATACAGTCTACCTGTGTGCACCTTCCTCCACCCTTATAAGTCATTTATTGTTCCCCCTCTTCTTCAAATGTGTGTTTACTGCAGCTGTTTCTGTCCTTTTTGTCTACTATCATCTGTCTGTCTCCATTTCTCTCCACAAGCAGAAACCTCCTCATCACCTCTGTTTCCTTCACATACATGTAATTCTATTCTATTTTATTTACACAGCGCCAAATCACAACAACAGTCGCCTTGAGGCGCTTTATATTGTACAGTAGATTGTACAATAACACATACAGAGAAAAACCCAACAATCATATGACCCCCTATGAGCAAGCACTTTGGTGACAGTGGGAAGGAAAAACTCCCTTTTAACAGGAAGAAACCTCAGGCTCAGGGAGGGGCGGGGCCATCTGCTGTGATTGGTTGGGGGTGTCCACTGAAGTCTGCTCCAATCAATTCAAGTCAGTTTTATATAGTGCTTATAGTTAGTTGCTTAAATCACCTCTCTCCACCATTTCATCCACCCCAGTATTCCTTTTTCTCTTCTGACGCCGAGCTTGTGGGGCACACACACTAACAACACTCAACAAGTCATGGTCCTGTCTGTGTGACACAGTCCCTATCCTCACGTCCATGCTTCTCCCAGCACCACACACAGTTGTTGTTAACTTGGATCCCAAATGATCTGGTACAGGAATCTCATTCTTTACGGTCCCATATCATCAGACCTTGGCACTCGGAGTACACTGGCTTGTCACCTCCATGTGGCTGGGTGACTGTAGTACTTTTATATAACATTTCACATTACAGCTCTGAGATGGAAGAATGGTATTGATTATATTGATCTTGAGAAAACTGTTTTCTTAACCATCTCAGGAACTGATCTGAAACCAAAGGCAGAGAGTGAGACAAGCTGCAAACCAGTAAAAACATCTTTACCAGCACGCTGTCATCAGCAGTTGTCCAAGAGCTCCATACAATGACTTTATGTAAAATCAGTTAAAAATGCTGATGATAGCCGTAGCAGGTGATTTAATAGAAGACTGCAGTAACCGAGTAGATTTGTTCCCTGCTCCTTTCCAAGCCCATGCATTTGGAAATCATTGTGAGACTGCAGTGTGTATGTTGTGTTTAAGATGAAATAACTTTAATACACAACGATGCGTTTTCACTCAGACTTTAGTTCTTACCTGTTCCCAGTCTATACTGCGGAAAAACGTGTGGGACTTGATGTCTGTGAAGCCTGTCTGGACCTGACAACCCAGCCGCTCCTTGGGATCCTGTTGGAGCCAAAACAGCTGGTCAGGAACATCAACAGAAGCTGCTGTAGTACACATACTGTAAGAACTGCCAGGAGTGTGATGAAAAAGACCAATTATTATATTTTATTATCATTCAAATGTTGAACTATACATGAAATGACTGTCTTGAGGACAACAACAAGAATTTCATTAAGTACTACAAAGGTATGTGTACATGTGGCACAGCCTCCCTGTGCACTGCTCATCACAACAATCATGCAGGTGACATACAGAGGTTTAAACAGGACATGGAAAAATGAAACCACAGGCTCAAATGCAGTAACGGTCGTTGTTCTGTAACCTGGTCTTTAACCAAAGACACCTTTGCCTTTGTCTCCTGTGCACGTGGTTTTTCTCGTTGTCTAAATATCCCACAGTAAAGTGATGCATCCATCACGGACACTTTTTATCCAGCTATCCAATCACAGCAGAGGGGAAAAACTACAGTCATCAACTCTTACTTGTAGTCCACAGGGCTGCTTGTACCAAATGAAAGTTTCATGTGCTTACAACACATTTATTTCTGCTATTCTGCATCACTGCAACCAAAGCATCTCAGGTTCAAACAATAAGTGCTGAGTAGGGATCTCATCTGGACGTTTGCAGTAGAGCACCTGGTTCTTCAGCTGATTGATATGTACACCCCTGACTCTGGTCACAAGAGAATTAGCTTTTATCAGAGATGGTTGAATATGTCAAAATAAACTGTGAGTAACAACATGGCTCTCAGATGAGCTCTTATACAGAGTAGATGATGAATGGTCTGCATTTATAAAGCATGGTCATCCAGGGTTATGCTTGACCAGTTTACTGTGGACTTTCTGCTGAATCATGCTTGTTATTAATCTCTGTCTCTCTTCCAAAGCATGTCTTTATCCTGTCTTCCTTCTCTCACTTCAACCAATCGCAGCAGATGGCCCCGCCCCTCCCTGAGCCTGGTTCTGCCGGAGGTTTCTTCCTGTTTAAAGGGTGTTTTTCCTTCCCACTGTCGCCAAAGTGCCTGGAAAAACTCCCTTTAAAAACTCCTGAAACTATGTGTCAGCCTCAGGCCAGACTGCTACTGGGTCTGTGGTGTGCCTGCTTTCACTCCTGGCTTTAGCCTTGTACTTAGTGCACAGACATGATGCTGTTCTTAAAAAGCATGTGAAATTAAGTCACTACATTCAGTTTCACACATGGACTAAAGTTTTCTTGGCCTGACAGAGGTGCCTGCCTTTAAGCAGCAGCAGCTGCAGCAGCAGCAGCCTGGTCCAAAGACGTCGTGTGAATAGTTCAGCTTGTATTTTGGTGCTTTCACTGTTATCGTGTGTGCTGCTTCTGTGGAGCCAGCTCTCTAAATGAAATCATGCTGGAAGTTTCCCTCATCAGAGTGGGTCTGAGGTGGACTAGTTCCTGTCAGTGTTACATGTGAGAAAGTGCTGCTTATCCCAGCAGTAATCTAATTACTGTGTCACTTTCACCCTCTTTATCGTCCACTTTCAATGATAAGAAACAACCAGTCTGGCAGGAGTAGCAGTCTGTGTTGTTGTTCTTCCAAGTCGAGTGATCCAGCACGGTCCTGACCCCGGTGCCAAGAAACCCTCGAGTGGATTACCACATATCCTTTGTTGGGTAACTGAGTTGTACTGTGTAAATACTAAAATAACAGCGGCACAACCGTCCACTCAGAACTAAACACCGAGGCCTACATTGTAACATAGCCCATGCTCTGGGCCACAATCCCACACAGTGAGCAGCAGAGTGCACGCAGGAGGAGAGGGTGCTTATGGGAGGGACTGTCTCACCTTGTTTAGAAAGCCCTTGAGCACGCCGGCAGCTTTCACCGACAGAGACCTTGGGATCCGAATGGGCTTCTCGAGAATAACTGTTGGCAAAAAGAAGGACGGCAACAAAAGAGAGAGCGAGTGAATTAAAAGGACAATCGTGAGGAGGGAGGAGAATGATTCACAGTCCAACCTGCCTGTGGGTGACTGTGTCTGCTGCGTGGGAGGCAGAGAAAGGGCGGAGATGCAGAGGACACTGTTCTATTCTCTCTCTCACACTTTTTGTGGTCTACTAATAGCCTTGAGACTCCCACAGCTAACAAGAACAAAATGCAGTAAAAACAGTTTCTCCCTCAAAACCCAAATCCAGAGATGAAGAACTGCATCACAGCTCCTTTTTAAACATGCTATTCACCCATTTTATTATTATTTTAAACCAGTGTGCGTGAACACTCACCATCTGAGATCCAGTTTCTCTTAAACCCAAAAGACATCTGCACCCAGGACAAGGCAAACACAAAAAGAGGAGAGCTATGTTTTGTGACTAGAAAGACGGGTATTTTACTAGCTCGATGTTCCACTTAACTCAAGTTTTATTTATGCAGTACAGAATCACAACAGCAGAGCCTTTAAGGAGCTTATCCTGTGTAGATATTACAGAACTGACAGTAAAGTTGACCTTGAGATGTGCTGATGCTCTGAACTGCAGATCTGATGTGAGAAATGAAAGTTGTCCTGTTGTGCATCTATAAAATAAAGTCTTATTTATCTGATACTGCTGTGTGGTGCTGTGCCTTTGACCAGGTGATTAAAGTTGATGGTCAGCTGTAGTAGAAACAATCAGACAGGTAGTTTCAGGTGAGTCATGACACTTATAGAGAGGAGAACTCCCAGTTGCTAGTGCTTAAAGGCTACTGGGAAAACTCATTACAATGCAATCATTATGCCAACGTTAATGACAAAACCTTGGCAAGAATAATGGGCCAGTTTCATTGGCCGCACATTCAGGGGTCGTTGTGAGCATCCTGACCTGAATGCCACTGCAGCCTTTACAGGTGGAGGGTCCATCTGAGCAAATTAGCATGGACCTGATTGGGCCATTTCACCAAAGTCAACATGGGTATCAGTGTGCAGAGCATTCAAAGCCAATAGTAGCACCTACCCACTGGCACCCTGCTGGCCAACAGCATCAACGGCACTCTTTAATCCAGGGATGGAAATGTCATTTCTGATGGCAGACGTGTTTGCTTTGGCAGGGTGCCCTGCCTGATGCAGCCCTCCATATTTATCGAGGCTTGGAAACGACACTAGGAGTAAACCAGCTCGTGGTCTCCCTGGAAACCACGGAGCTAAGACAAACAAAACATGTCAACAAAATCAAATAATCGCTGGTGCTGACCTTTTCATGATTTGTTGAATAACTAGAAAGAATTATAAATGTTACCAACAATAAACATTTCTGGTTTATGTCATTTTTTAAGAAGGAGGCCAATTACATGAAAAGGGAAAGACCATCTCTGAATCGAGGAGGGGGTCTAAGGGTACATCTGTCACCATCTTACAATGCTGTGACTGCAGCCATTCCCCAACTCTGTGTGAATGGGACTCATGGACATTGATCAGTGGGTTTTGATCAATTTGGATATTAATTATCATAAACTGACCTCCCAGCCCATTGTTAATCAGTGGGCTGGTTTCAGTCATTGTGCAAATGTGCTGTTTATAAGGTTGGAAAGCTGCAGTCAGCTGAGACTGAAGAAGCCACCTGATGATGAGGAAATGTTTGTTCCACTGAGAACGTCCAGATGAACAGAATCAACCTTCTGGGAAAATGTTCAATTGCTCCCAGTAACATATCAGAGCCACAACAGAGAGATAATCAGTGTTGTTCACCTCATCTGTCAGTGCTCATAATGTTGTGCCTGATTGATCTCTGTCACTGTGTTTACATATTAATAATCTTTTAATCTTGGCAGCCGACCTGCTTCAAACATGGACGTGTTTACTGGTACTTGGTTTTGTTTTTTCAGACAGAAACTGTTGTTATATCATGAAGGTAAACTACATCATTTATCACTGTATGTGTGTGTATGTATATATATATATATATATATATGTATATATATATATATATATATATGTATAGTTGCTATCCTGTTGGTATACACAGTTGTCTTTCTGAAGCCAG